GGCCGAGCAGCCGCCTCAGCACCATGACCAGCGCGAGAGGTGACCTGCTGGGCAGGTGTGCGCGAGCCGCACACAAACCGCGTCGGCTGTCGTGACCAATCAGCGCCCGCATCGCCCCACCCCTCTTCCGGACCAATCAGCGCTCGCGTCCAAACACATCAGCCACCAGAGCAAAAGGCTCCAGAGCGGCTGCAGCCGGGGAGCTTTAGAGCTTCCCTTCTTTCCGGGGACCGGGTGGCGCCCTGAGGAGCCCGGAAGCACTCACGGGGCCGCGGCTCCCAGGAGGCCGAGCGCCGCTCCGCCGGCGCACCCGGCGGAGGACGGAGCAGAGCGGCAGGTCGCGCACCGGCCGGCGCTCCGAGATAGTTCGTCCTCTCGCGGTAGCTGTAGGCGTCAGGGGCCGGGTCCGCGACTGAATCCTAGTAACTCTAGGGGCTTTGGCAGGAGCCATGGCGGCCTCAAGGCCGCTGTCCCGCTTCTGGGAGTGGGGGAAGAACATCGTGTGCGTGGGCAGGAACTACGCGGACCACGCCAAGGAGATGCAGAGCGCGGTACCGAGCGAGCCGGTGCTCTTCTTGAAGCCGTCCACCGCTTATGCCCCCGAGGGCTCGCCCATCCTCATGCCCACCTACAGCCGCAACCTGCACCACGAGCTCGAGCTGGGCGTGGTGATGGGCAAGCGCGGCCGTGCAGTCCCGGAGGCGGAGGCCATGGACTACGTGGCCGGCTATGCTCTCTGCCTGGACATGACCGCCAGGGACGTGCAGGACGAGTGCAAAAAGAAGGGGCTGCCCTGGACTCTGGCCAAGAGCTTCACAACCTCCTGCCCGGTCAGCGCGTTCGTGCCCAAAGAGAAGGTCCCTGACCCTCACAACCTGAAGCTCTGGCTCAAGGTCAATGGGGAACTCAGGCAGGAAGGTGAGACATCTTCCATGATCTTTACCATCCCCTACATCATCAGCTACGTTTCTAAGATAATGGCCTTGGAAGAAGGAGATATTATTTTGACCGGGACGCCAAAGGGTGTTGGCCCTGTTAAAGTAAACGATGAGATCCAAGCTGGTATACACGGAGTCGTCAGTATGAGATTTAAGGTGGAAAGGCCAGATGATTGAGTCTACAAAGCCTCCGAACTTACTAAGTTTCAGAAGAGAAGGGAGCTGGACTGAAGCAAGCAAAGGTTATTAAAAGTGACAGTCCTTTAATAAGAAACCAACTTTTAAAGATGATTTGATTGGATTGCTATGCCTCAACTCATGAAGATGGGAACTCCATGAAAAAACATAATCTGGAAGAGCTGGGTCGGAAACGGAAAGGAGAAAAGAATGCCTGTCTGTCTTCTAGGAAACAAACAGAATAAAGTATTTGTGATGCCTCCAACAAGGCATGAAATGTTCAGAAGACTTACTTTCCTTTCCTAAAACTGGACTGGATAAGACTTTTCAGTGAGTCATTCTGGGATCTGTAGTTCAATAAGTAAAATCTGCAAAGGAAGTTGAAAAGTATGTTTCAAATCAGTGTTTCCCACATTTCTTTAATCATGACAGTCATCTGGAGGTATTTATAAAAAAGGATTTCCAAATGACTGGCCCATACCAGGCCCACTGTATTAATTAGCAGAATTAACCTCCAGCACTCCAAATGATTCTTATGAAATGTGGAAAAACACTACTCCACATAACCAGTTAATTTAAAATTTTCTTTAATAAGTTAACAATGAATGACGACCTCACTCGTTTGTACCCTGGCTCATAGATTCTGAGTTTAAGAGATAATTTTGAAACTCTCATTTCCAAATAAATATGCTGATTTTTGTGTGGCCTAAAAGTGTATTTCCTTCTCCTAATAGTGGCTAGGAGGGATACCTCCTTATTAAGGAGCTTCAGACCTTGGTCACACTGACCTTTGGCCTGGTGAGCACTGTGCTTTATTAACAGAGTTCATCAGCATCTCTACTTCCTGACTAGAAATAAGGCTTCAGGGAAGTCGAGTTGCCTAGGAGTACTACTTGTGCTTTAACCTGCTCCCTCCCTCTCCTGTCCTATGAAATCAATAAAAGTGTATTTTTAAAAAATAAATAAATGGTTTGCCTTCTAAAATTTTGATACCTTTTTGCCAAATTGTGGAGAAAAAATACATACTAATTCTTCCAAATCTAGATGTAACTTGTACCATTATTTTGCTCATACCACACAATTCTATAACCTAGTTTTTTCACCATATGTCATGACTATCCGTGTTAGTCTGCACATTTCTGCAGTACTATTTTCAGTGACTGCGTAAGATTCTGAAGTCAGTCCTTCATTTTTGGCCATCGAGATTGTTTCTAATTATTTGCTAGTAGAATCAGCACCCTTGTTATTTCTTTTGGCTAGGTTCCCATAAGAAGAGCTGAATCAAGGGTGTGCTCAGATTGAAAGTGTATTGGTCCAGTCAGCAAATACAAGTTTCAGCTGAGCCAAGTCTTCCAAACTGACAGACTTGAAAGCCAGCTAAAGATATGACGCAGGAGCACTGTTCACATATAGCTCCCTTGGGTGGCACAAGCCAGCACCCAGAGTGTGTACAGTGTTCCTGAGGTCAGTGTTCATCACAGTGGTTCACAAGCTTTGTCACAAACAGCTGACAACAGCATTTGCAGGTGTAGCACACAAAGTCCTTGGCTGCAGGGATCAAAAACTGAAAGACTCACCATCTCCCACAAATCCTGGTGTTGGTAAACAGAGTAATCCTAGCACCTAGAAGGTACATTTTCCCCCAACTTTTTATTTTGAATTTTAAACCTCCTAAAAAGTTGAAAGACTAATACAAGAAACTCCATATACCCTTCACTAGAGTGTATATGTGTGTGTGTGTGTGTGTGTGTGTGTGTGTGTGTGTGTGTGTGTGTACTTTTGCTTGCAATGAAATACTTGTTTCTTTCAAACAACTGTGCTGTCAAGAGAACTGTTTTGTGGTTTGACTTTTTGCATTAACAAGTAGAAGTATTCTGAGTATTCTGGTCAGAGTAGCAGTCTAGTACATATGCTTTGTGTACCTTTTGTGTATCCCAGACCCTTTTGTAAAAATTATATATATATATATACATATATATATATATATACATGTGCATATATATATATGCACACACACACATACATACATAGGAAAATTGGAAGTGGGTTGCAGAAACACTCTACCCTTTCAGCATGCATTTTCTAAGAATGAGGACATTCTTCTATATAGCCACAATACCATTACCACACTTAAAATTATTCCATAACATATTAGTCCATACAGAATATATGGCTTCCTATCTGTTCTTCTGGACTTTAAAAAAATGCTCAGTGGGCTTTTATAAAAAATGAGTATTCTGCATTCACTTAATATACCAAGAACATCTTTCCAGATTAGTGAATATAGATTTTCATAATCACTTTTATTGGCTGACTCTTCAGTCATGTACCCTCATAGAGACGAAGCAGATTAGAGGTTGGCAGGGACTGGGGGAGTGGAAACGGGGAGTTATTATATAATAGGTACAGAGTTTCAATTTGGAATGATGAAAAAGTTCTGGAAATGGGTAGTGGTGATGGTTGCACAACATTGTGAATGTGCCGCCACTCAATTGTACACTTAAAAATAGTTAAAATGGTTAAATTATATGTGATGTATATTTTATCACAATAAAACAACAAAAAATCATATATACAAGAAAAGCATTTATTACCTGTCAGTTAAAAAATGAGATGGGAGATTATGGGCTTTCCTTTTTATTTGTTAGCTAGTATTTTCTAATTTTTCTACAATGAATAATATTTTATAATAAAAATATTTAAAAGCAAAAACAACCCCAGGGTTCCTCAAGATGAGTAATAAATGGACAAATATATATCATGTTTCTGCCACGTGCAGCGTATTGAATAAAAAAACTCACCAAAGCTGAATTAGGGAAGGAAAATAATATTGAAATGAACCACTAATAGAAGATTAGGAAACATTACATCATCACCAAACTATTTTTATAAAATGATGTAGAACTTGTATATAAAAATACACTAGGACCAGGAAAAACAGCTCCCAGAGAACAGCAGGGAAATGGAGATCCCAGACAGGGAGCTGTAGATTTTGTGTTGATGGGGTGGGTGCTTCTTTCACTTTTTTGAGTACCTGCATTCTGGCTCATCTACAAGCAAATTTTAGATATAAACCAACTTGTATCCTTCATTTCATAAATGTGTAAGTTAAACTTCAAATCAACATCTGTGATTCAGTGTGGCCTGACACCTAACCCTGTAGATTCCTATGTCATCAGAGGAAATAAGCAGTTGGGTGCCCCTCCAGCAGCAGGAATGGGATCTTTCACTAGTTAAATGTCACACTGCGAAGTCACCAAGGTAGCAGTGAGGAGGTCAGTCAGAGGCTCTAGGGTTCTGTTGCTGGGGATCACTGGTTACTGCATATGCACCCAGCTACTTTAAGAATGCCCATGTTAAGACATGTATTAGGCAGTTAAAGTCAGTGGTGAAAGAGCCAGAGCAGCTGAGGCCCATGGACTGTAGGAGCCCAGACAGTTGGTTCTAGCGCCCTTGGCCTAAGCATCGGTACATTGGGACCTGCTACGAGAGGCCAGTGCACCAGGAGGTCTGGCACAGCAGCTCCTGACACACCATCTGGACCAGTTGTCCTTCCTCATCTCCTGTGCCCTTGAACACTCACTCTTGCTTAACTAACAAAGGATGTGACTGTGGCTGCCAGTGGGTGTCTTCGCTTCTCTCTCCTCCCCGACCACACACACACACACACACACACACACACACACACACACACACGTTTGCATGGGCAGGACATCGTCCTCGACCCTCCACCACTTTCCCTCCTTCCTTCCCTGTCCACCCTCCCCATTCGCTTTGCTTAACACACCCATTTCCCACCCCAAGGGAGAAAGAAAGGAAGCTCATTGGGCACTCTTGCTGTTTGCACAACTAGGTCAAATCCTTCATTACCCTGCTTATTACCACAGTTTGGACATACTCCCTCCTCCATGGCTGCCTATGGTAAAAGCCAGAGAAAACGTTACTGACAAGGTAAGTTTATCTCCCAACATCAGCCTTATAAAAAAGTTTCATATACTTTTTCCTTTTGTGTTCACTCCTATGGTGGGTGAAGTGTAGCCTTCTGCAGTGCCAGACCCAAAAATGTTGGCCAAACCTCCCCGACTGTGAATCAGCGCTGACCGTGTTGGTGGGCCTGTGCACTGAAGCAAGTAACTCAGAATGGTGTGGAGCTGAGGAGGGTGCTTTGGGGCTCCTGCAAGGATGACTGGAGTAGAAGGGAGACTGTTGTCCTTCTCTCCAAGCAGGCCTCCCACCCTCCAAGTTCCCAAGGCCTGGCATAGCTCATAGAACTTGGGAAGTCGGTCTCCTCCCAGTTGATTTAGACTCATAAATGACAACCCTGAGTCAGCAAGCCTTCACAAGCACTGGGTAGCTCCAATGTATCATTAGAGAAGGCAAGGGATTTGCAAAGCTCTATGGTGTTTAAAGCCGTTGTACAACACTGCCCACGGATTTCTGCTGTTCCCACCTGGCCCTGAGAGGGCCTCTCGTCTGGACTCTTTCAGCTCCAGGAAAGCAGCCAGCCATTGCCAAGCTCTAGGTAAATTGTTTTTAGAGGTTCTGATCTTTCTCGGGGAAATAAGACAAAGAGGAAAGGGGCTGAAGAAATCAATCTGTGAGAAAGATTAAATTTGTTTATTATTCATGCAAACATTTTCCAACTTGGGAAGAGAGAGGGCAAAGGCGGTAGAAATGGTCTAAGAATTGAGCTCAGGTGAGATAGATATTTGAGATGTAGCCCCAAACCAACTCCAGGAGGAAACATAACAACTTATAGAAACATTTTTACCACATTTGGATAAAATACAATTTCATCCATAATTTTCAAATTCATTTCTCACTTTAAGGGAAGTTAAAACTCATATTCTTTTCCAGAGTTTACAGTGATATCTGGTTTAAATATTTCCTTGTCCAGACAAGTTCCTACTTGCCTCAACAGGATCTGCAAGCTTACATGAGAGCACACTCATCCTCAATCCACCCCTTGCTCTGTCTGATAAAAAAAACTGTAGGAAGAAGAGAGAGAGAGAGTTAGTTTTAAAAATCACCATGTGTATAAAGTAGAAAACCAATGACCAGAGCAGAGAATGCAGTAGCGAACTGCAGTGAGTTTTGCTTACAGATGTTAACATGTCAAAGTTCTAAGACGAAAAGAGTTCAAATCTCAGGCAGAGTTCAGTAGAGAAATTACAGATCTGGCTTTTGTAAAAATCCATGTTATTTTTTCATAATATTTCTCCCTGGTAGGCAAGTCGGGATTTCAAATCCAATATGTAGGAAAAAAGGGCTTAAAGTGTGTTTTAACTCCCAGTTGTAATAGACTTTAGCCTGGAGTAGTAACATAATCTGTTAGACTACAGGAATATGATGATGACGTTTATTAATAATGTCTTAATTTTTACAATTAACCAAGCACTTTCACCAACATTTTATTTAATATAGAGTGAAAGGACACTCTAGCCATTTTAATTTCAAAGAGTAATAGGAAAAAATGTAATAATGTCAGGAAACACTGTGGAAGACTTTGAAATGTGCAGTAAAGATAAGTGGGCATCTTTCAGGGGAATGCTCCTCCGTGGTCTGGTGTTGGCCAGCGCACCTTCATGTGAGTCCACAATGGTCTGCGCCTTTCATTGCATTGGCTGTAGGTAGTAAAAAACTGATAGTGATACAGAGGCTGTTGCTCAAGGAAATCCAAGTGAATTCTGTCTGGGTGAAGATGCAACTGATTCTGTAATGGGGAAGAGGCCAGTTTTGCATCTGTAAACCAACTCATTTCAGCATTCCTGATTGTCTGCCCATGTGTCTATTCTTCCAATTCTACTTTGAACTCATTTTTTAAAAAACACCTTCTTGGTTCCTTTATTAATTAATGAATTAAATTAAATCTTTGACATGTGTTTATTTTATTTTTGTATGAGAGTCATGGTTTTACCCTTTTGGGAAAGATTCTTTAACACTAGTATCAGGCTTACAAGACTATTTTAAGTCTAATATCACCATGTGATTTGAAACATTAAAATGAACGCCTCACTTTGAAATCCCTCCAAGAGAAACATTTTAAGTAGTCTTTGTTTTTAATTGAAATATGATAAAAATATAAAGTGTCCAATCTACATAGAATACTTTGTTTTTATTATATTAGCAGAGCAAGTTAAGTTCTTACTTTTAAAATTAAATGTTCTATTTTAACTGATTTATAACAATTGAAACTGTATTTGATTCTCATGATCTTTAATACATTTTGTGATATAATCATTTATATCTGCTTAAAATTTTTGTTAAACCTGACTTAAAAATCTTTTTAACATATTACTTGGAAAGGTACAATGTCCCTTTACTTGAGAGCAATTTGTTATATATGAGTCAAGTTAGTAAAACTATAAATAAGTTGCCATATATTTAAATTGATCAAGCTCATTAGCAAGTGGTCTGGAGGAAAAATAAAGTTGGTCAGGATCTGAATATATTCTGATTTGGGAATAGACAGTAGTTATGTCTAAGGTGGAAGAGGTACAGTGTATTACTGTAACTTCCCCCTTCAGCTAGTAATGAAGAATCCTTGAACCAAGGTCCTAGAAATATCGGTGAAACCATGGTGACTCCATGTCTGAAACCTATTCAGATATAGTTGAGGCCAGAAGGGAAGGGAGACACTGGAAAATGGAAAAACCCACTTATGAGCCTGAGATGGAGTGATGCAGTATTCTCAAAGACTCTGTCAGTGTATCCATGAGATCACAACTATTTTCCTAATGATACTAAGATGCTACTTGCCTCTTTTATTCTCATTCTTTTACCAGAACACACTACAGTTTTCTTGAGACTACGTGACATGAGATGATATCACTACAGCTAATGAAATGCATACTCATAAGTATGTTTTAAATTTTTCTCAATGTTAACTTCTAATACAGTAAATGCAAACAATATAACTCATTTAAACAAGAACTTCAAAACTGTTAAGAATGTAAAGGAGAAAACATTTGAGAACAAAGGGAGGAGAGGAATAATGTACGCAGTAGCCCTCTCTCACCTGTGACTTGGGGCTAGTGGCAACATTTTTTGGTCCCATTTTCCTCATTTGCAAAACAAGGGGAGTTTGTCTCACTCCTCTTTTTACACCTTTAACACTAAGATTCTATGATCCTCCAACGCCATAGTGTTGCTAGTGCTGTGGGAGTCTGATCAGAGTTGTAGGATTACAGAATTTTAGAGGCTTAGAGAAGTTAATTAACCTCCCCAGGATCACACAGGCTGAAGAACGGTGGAATTGGGATTCTTACCTGAGTCTGTCTCACCCCAGCATCTAAGTATTTAACTATATGCCATTGTATCCTGCTCACTGTGGTGAGGAGATTGCCATGTGGGTTGCAGGGGTGGGGGAGACCCAGCTTGACTCTAAAGCCAGGTGCCTAGTCTTGGAGTTAACATTACTGGATATTTTTTGTTGTTCACCTATTTGTTTGGTGCCATTTGTAATTACTTTATGCTATGTGAAAAAAAAAAACAGTTACTTCCATTGTTTCTACAGTAGCCAAATCTTTCTGCACATCTGGGAATTGGGCATAATTTTTTTTTTAATCCTCACCTGAGGATATTTTTTCCATTGCTTTCCAGAGAGAGTGGAAGAGGGAGAGAGAGAGAGAAACATCGATGTGAGAGAGACACATTGATTGGTTTCCTCCCGCACTCGCCCCAACCAGAGCCGGGGAACCGAGGTATGTGCCCTTGGTGGGAATTGAACCCAGGACCCTTCAGTCCTCGGGCCAATGCTCTTACCATTGAGCCAAACCAGCTAGGTCTGGGTATTATTAAAATAATAAATTTCCTAATTTATTAGGTCACACTCTAGGATTTTTTTTTGCTTGAATTTATAGAATAACATAGTACTGTAAAATATACTAACTTTTAAATAAATTTTGCTTCTTTCCAAAAGAAACTGCCACTTTAATGCCGTTTTCTGTTCATCCGTCATTGCCAGAAACTCATTTACCTGGTTTAAAAAAAAAAAAAAATCAAACAAATATTTCCAAAGTATTTGCTCCTAGAAGTGGAATTTTATTCACAGTAATTACAGCTCAATTTTCTTGATGGAGGAGATAAGACCAGAGACCTGCTCTAATCTGAATCTGTGAAGCTAATCGTTGGCTTGGTACTGAAAACTCCCCCTTGACAAACTGGAAATCACTTGGAACTGAGGTTTAATGGTTAACTTTAGGAGCTGGTTTTAACTATAAAAAAACAAGTGCTTATCATCAAGTGCACAATCTAAAACCTCTAAGAGGCTGCTGCTGTCCTATAGCGGCAGATGGAGAACACTCGTGGCTGACTTTATACAGCTGCATATGTGAAATACTGCTGATCCCTCCTTCTGGAAGAGCAGCCACCTTCAAAGTGTTGTTTTACCCATTGTTACTTGACTATATAAATGTCTTGTTTATTCTCCACTATGGTCCAGGGCCTCTGTCGTTATTCCTAATATTAGCTATAATTTCAACATACAACATGTAATTATTTGTTCATTAAAGGAAGCAATGTATGTTTAAATCAAGGTTGATTTTTTTCACAGACTTTTTTATTAATAAATTCATTTCTATCAAATGTCCACCAAAACAACCTATATTTTGGAGGAAGAGAATCTAATTTGGAAATATTTCTAAACATGGTTTCCTTTTTGTATTTACCGTGCAGCCCAAAGTCTCCTCAGCAACACTTCCTGTGAGATTACAGGAATGGAGGGTACCTGTGTGATCCGTAACATCAATTAGCATATCGAAGCTGAGAAAAACAGATTTAAACTTCGAAGAATCTCTGTTGCAAGTTGTACAAATGCTGGATGCTTCATTTACAATGTAACCACAGCCAGAACTGAAAAGAAACAAAGGACAATGATAAAATGTGAAGGCCCTAAGTGACAAATCTGCTTTCTAGCAGAAGAATTATCACTTAGAAGTCTAAATCAGAGTGAGTAATTTCAGAATGCTCAGCACTGCGCAGGATACAAGACAGACATACAAAATTACAAGAAAGAATACAACACGTGTTCTCAGTCTCATTTTCAGTATTTGCGATTCATCTGAAACTAGGATAGTAAGCTCACTGCCCGGCTCCCTACCTTCTAGTGATGGATGCTGCCCAGGCTCACTTCCCTCCTGGGGCCTTCCTTTCCTGCCCCCAGCCTTCACCCCTTCCCTTCTCTGCACAGCTGCAGAATTTGTCCTTCAGCACTCACTGTATCTTGTCACACCCTATTTCTTGTTATTGCAGGTATGTCCATCTTATCTCCCTGGTTCGGTGCTCTAAGGGCAGGAATCGCGTCTTGCGCCTAAAAAGCCTAGGTTCCACAGACGCTCACTTGATGGTATTGTATTATGTCTTCTTCACACCTACAGAAAAGCCCTAGGGTTGGGCAGGTTCACACCTTAAATGCTGTTAGTACTGCTAGTGACACATTCGCCTCTCTTTAATTGGCAATTACATGCTATTTCATATTTTTGAAGCAGGTCCTACTTTAGCCAATTTGGAAAGGACTGATTCACATTTCTGAAGAAGAGAGAGTGATCTGAAGATAGTAGTTTCTTATCTAGCCACAGATCACTTTTAAAGTAAATTTTAGATGCTTTTCTTCACATATCAATACTAAAGATGTAGGAAAATGAGACAAAAATTATTTAAATTTGTGAAAAATATTTTTCAAAAAGTGAGTACCTGCCTTACACAGTAGCCTCTACATTCGTTTTTTAAACTTTAATACCAAATCATAAAATGTTTTAAAAACCCATTGATCAACTGCCCTGGCCTGGTAGCTCAGTTGGTTAGAGCATCCTCCCCATACACCAAGGTTGTGCATTTGATCAGGAATGCATAATAAATAAGTGGAACAACTGGATCTCTCTTTCTCTCTCTCTCTCTCCTTCCCTCTCTCTCTATCAAAATAAAAAAATCCAGCCCTGGCCAGGTGGCTTAGTTGGTTGGAGCATTGTCCTGTACACCAAAGTCGTAGGTTCGATTCCCTGTCAGGACACATACCTAGGTTGCTGGTTCAATCCCCTGTCGGGTCATGTACAGGAGGCAACCAATCAAGGTTTCTCTCTCACATTGATGTTTCTCTCTCTCTCTCAAAATCCATAAAAACATATCCTCAGGTGAGGATTTAAAAATAAAAATCCATAGGTCAATATCTTGACTGTGGTGGTAGGTACACAAACCCATGCATGTGATAAAACTATATAGAACTTAATACACACACATATACACACATGCACACAAATGAGCACATGTCAATCTGGAAAAATTTGAATAAAATAAGTGGATTGAATTAAGGAAACAGAGCAAAGTGCACATGGGCTCTCTCTGTATTATTTCTTTTTCTTTTTTTTTTTCGTTTAATCCTCACTCAAGGATATTTTTTCCATTGATTTTTAGAGGGGATGGAAGGGAGGGAGGGAGGGGGGAGATAGAGAGAGAGAAACATTGATGTGAGAGAGACATGTGGATCAGTTGCTTCCCACATGTGGCCCCACAGGATTGAACCTGCAACCCAGGTATAAGCCCATGACTGGGAATCAAATGCAGGACCCTTCAGTGCATGGGCCAATGCTCTAACCACTGAACTACTGGCCAGGGCTCTCCATATTATTTCTTAAACCTCCATGTTAAACCTAGAACTATCTCAAAAATTTTTAATTACCAAAACCCATAAGGAGATTTTCACAATAACAGTTTGGACACTTTTTGCCAACCATCTTTTGGATGAGACTATTTACTGGGGTTTACTTTTCTATGCAAGTAGATATTCTGTCCTCTGAGTGTTTGGAAATCATTCATCATACAGTTGAAAATAATGTTTTTAATGCTGTCACTTGCTCTATAATGTGGCAACCAAAATTACTTTCTAATACATTATAAAACAACAGCTTGCCATTTCAGTTAAAAGTTTCTGGCAGTATCATATCTTTATAGTTTAGGACTGCAGAAACATAGTACATTAATTTTGCTTTAAAAGGCAATTATAATCTTTGCATATAAATAGTTTGCCATGGAAACTTCAGGTTATTTATTTATACATTTTCTCTCAAATGTATAACCACTGTGATGTCCAAGAATAGCTTAGACTTTTATAGAAGTTAAAATTTATTAACAATACTTGTTTTTTCTTACAAGAATGAATTTACTAAAAGCAACTTGGCTGCTTACCATCTATTTCGAACTACTTTTGTAGTGTCATCATCAATGTTCAGTGTAGAAATGTAAGCATAAAGAATGCCATAAAAAGGATCAGCTTTCCCTTCATTCTTCAAAGCTTTTACCTTTACTTGTTCAACTGTATAGACATCAACTACTGTATTTACTAAAAATAAAAAGAAGTTATTATAGCTCTCTCTGTATATATTCTAAGAACTCCAAAGAATTATATCCAAATAGAAAAGCTACAAAGTTCAAATGAGAACATGTAGAAGCTTCAGTTAAGTAACAGAGAAAATATTATATTTGTTACATTAAAACTGATTATATAAGTGGACATAAAAGCAAAAAATAACAAAAAATAGGAAATTAGTCTTCATTAAAATGAAGAATGTATGATTATCAGAAGATGCCATTACAGGAGTGAAAAGGAGAGCTACACAGTGGAAGATGCTAGCAATCTATAAAGAGACAAAGGATTTATATCCAGAATATCTAAAGAATTCTTGAAAACCAATGATAAAAAGAAAATCAACTCAATTTTTTAGCTCTCATCAGATTGACAAAAGGTTATAGAAAGCTCCAAGAGTTTTAAACTACTTTTAAAACTGGAAATATAGCAGTTACAGAATAAGAATATGGTACCTTTCACTATGTAAAACAAAACTTTACAGGCCCCAATCTTGAAGTTTTAAAAATTCAAATAATATTTAAAGGTCACTTACAATTTATAGATTCTTTCAAATAACTGTCAATTGCATCATCCAGAGGACTTGTTTCTTTATTTTCTCTTATAAAATTCAATAAGATGTTAGCTTCTGGTGTCTCTTAAATTGAAAATGCATAATAATTAGAAATCAACCTGGTTACTTTTTAAATAACTGCGAATGACGCAAAATTATTTTTTTAACTTTTGCCCACTTTAATAATAAAAGGAAGTGAAATAAAAGAATGTAAAGGAGAGTACATAACTAAGAGAAGTACACAAATAGACTGTTAAAACAATCCCATTCGGGAGGTGTTTTTTTTTTTTAATACTCATCTGAGGATATTTTTTCCATTGATTGTTGCCTCTTGCACGCTGGAGGTGCTTTTTTAAAAAAATAATATTTTACTACCAATTTGTGTTATGTGAATTGGGACAAATAAAATTTTAAGATGTGAAATTAAGCAAAAAGATAAACTCACCCACTCTCTCCTTCTGCATGTCTATTTAGTATAAAGGCATTATACAGAACTTTAATGTCCTAAAAATGTATGGTTTTTTAGTCATAAATATTTATAGCTTATTTATTCTTCTGTTTTTTTTAAAATATGTTTTTATTGATTTTAGAGACAGAGGAAGGAAGAGGGAGAGAGATAGAAACATCAATGATGAGTCATTGATCAGCTGCCTCCTGCACGCCCCCCACTGGGGATTGAGCCCGAAACCCTGGCATGTGCCCTGACTGGGAATCGAACCTCAATCTCCTGGATCCTAGGGCGATACTCAACCACTGAGCCACACTGGCTGGACTATTGTTCATATTCTTCATCTTTTTTTTCTTCTTCTTAAAGAAGACCCTTTAACATTTCATGTAATACTGGGTTGGTGGTGATGAACTCCGTTAGCTTTTTCTTGTCTAGGAAGCTCTTTATTTGTCCTTTGATTCTAAATGATAGTTTTGCTGAATAAAGTAACCTTGGTTGTAAATCCTTGCTTTTCATCACTTCAAATATTTCTTGCCAATTCCTTTTATCCTGCAAAATTTTTGTTGAGAAATCAGCTGACAGTCATGGGAGCTCCCTTGAGTTAACTAACTGCTTTTCTCTTGATGCTTTTAAGATTCTCTCTTTGTCTTCAAACTTTTGCATTTTGATGTGTCTTGGTATGTGCCCCTTTGGGTTCATCTTATATGAGACGCTCTGCACTTCCTGAACTTGTATGTCTAAATCCTTGATCAGTTTAGGGAAGTTTACTGTCATTATTTTTTTCAAATAGTTTTTCAATTTCTTGCTCTCTCTTGTCCTTCCAGTACCCCCACAATGCAAATGTTGGTATGCTTGAAGTCGTCCAAAAGGCTCCTTACATTATCTTCATTTTTTTGGATTCTTTTTTCTTTTTACTGTTCTGATTGGGTGTTTTTTGCTCCCTTATATTCCAAATCGCTGATTTGATTCTCGGCTTCATCCACTCCACTGTTATTCCCTGTAAATTATTCATTTCGGTTAGTGTCTCCTTCATTTCTCACTAGTTCTTCTTTACACTGTTGAGGTTCTCACTGAGTTCATGGAGCATCTTTATAACCAGTGTTTTGAGTTCTGCATCTAGTAGATTGCTTGTCTCCATTTTGTTTTATTCTTTTTCTGGAGTTTTGTTCTTTCATTTGAGGTGATTCTTTGTCTCCTCATTTTCCTTGTGTTTGTTTCTGTGTATTAGGTAGACTGCTATGTCCCCTGGGCTTGGAAGACATAATGTAGAAGATGCCCTATAGGGCCCAATGGTACAGCCTCCCCAAACTGGGTGACCCCCACCCTGTGTGGGGCTGTATACACCCTCTTCTTGTAGTTTACCTTAATTGCTGTTGGCATGTCAATGGGAGGGATTTACCCCCAGGCCAATCAGCTGCAAGGACTGGCTGCCACCACTGACCACTGACCTCTGACCACCATGGAGGATCATCTGTGCTGGGGCTCACCCCACATAGCAGGACTTACTTCAGTGGGGCTCTGGTGCCTGCTGAGTCAGCCCCTTGAGTGTGTTCCTTGCAGAAGTGGTAGGCTGGTGATGCTTTGATGTGGTCTGAAGCTGTCCACTGGGTGTGCTGGCTCTAGGGCCTCCAGAGAAGTGCAGGCCAAGGTTGGCTACTGCCTGTGTTTTGCCTGGGACACCTGGCACAAGTTACAAAGTGATCTGCTGATGGCTACTACTTGTGCTGGGCTTGGTGGTGCCCAGGCCAGGCCAAGCTGTGAACCAAGGCTGACTACTGCTAATGCCAAGCCTGGGGCGACTTAGCAAGAGGTATGGGGGCTTGCTGAGGCCAGATGCTGCTTGTTTGAGAGATTTTAGGAAAATTCGAAGCATGAGCCAAGACAGGCCATTCCTATGGAAAAGTCACTGGAAAGAGCCTGAGTTGAGTGGGACAGGGCCTCAGGAAATCACCAGGGTGGAGCAAACAGTGTGAGCCAAGTTGATGGAGCCCCAGATATGGTACCCGTCTGCCAGCTCTGTGGAAGGAGGGCTCATCAAAGGAACAGTGGCCTCTGCCAGCACTTCTGTCTGGCAGAAAGCTGCCCCTCCCCAGCTCTTGCCCTGATGCTGGACAATTCAGTTCCTCCCCATATGTCTCTGGTGCCTTTAAAGCTATTGCCCCACACTGGAGCTCAAAGGGAATGAGTTCAAGTTACCCTGTGCATGGACCCTTTAAAAGGAACAGCCTGGGACTCCAGCAGCCTCCAGCTCCCTCAACCTCAATCCCCACTGGTTTTTACAGCCAGAAGTTATGGGGACTTCTCTTTCCAGTACTGGAACCCTGGGTTGGGGGGGCCTGGTGTGGGGCTGAGACCCCCCGCTCCTCATCTCTCCCAGTTTTTATCTGCCACATGTGGGTGTGGGGCCAGCCCAATCCATGTCTCCCTCCTACCAGTTTTGATGTGGCTTCTTCTTTAATTCCCTAGTTGTAGGATTTCCATTCAGCTTGATTTCAGGCATTTCTGAATGACAGTTGTTCTGTAGTTTAGTTGTAATTTTTATATGACCCCAAATTATTTTTAATGGTAAAAAGTAAATACATAAAAGAATGCAATCAAATAGAACATTAGGCAGCCATTAACAATGTGAAGTAGCATTCTATTAACATGGATAGATGTATACCAGCTATTGTTAATGTAATGAGCAGCTGTGGTGGGGGCGGGGGAGAGAGAGCGATCTATGTGTTGTTCCACTTATTTATGCATTGTTGGTTGATTCTTGTATGTGCCCTGACTGGGGATCGAACCTACAACCTTGGTGTATCAGGACAATGCTCTAACCAACTGAGCTACCTGGCCAGGGCATCATTTTCTTCTTAAATATCTCATAATTCACGTATGTGTTACCTTTATTGTTTATCATCTGTCTCTCCCTGGTAGAATGTGAGCTCCATGAAAGTGGAGATATTTGTGCTTTGTCCCAGCACACAGCATGTGCTCAGTAGATGAGAGTTCAACAAAGAACAAATCATTGAGTGTCATATCACCTCCCATGATGCTGCTTTTAAAGAGACAACAGTTCTGTGGTGGATGTGAAGATCCAATATACTTATTTTAAAAAACAGAGTCTTGTTATTTTACATCTTATGTCATAGTAATTAATTCTACTTTTCAAAATTCTGATAATTATCTGGTCAAAAATATAAAGTTGCTTTATGGTACTCAGTAACTATTGATGCTTTGCTATTGACCAGTAGAGTGAGCTTATGTTTAAAATGGCATGCTACTGCCCGGCCGGGCGTGGCTCAGCGGTTGAGCGTCGACCTAGGATCCAGGCGATCGGGGTTTCGATTCCCAGTCAGGGCACATGCCCGGGTTGCGGGCTCCATCCCCAGTCAGGGAAGGCAGCCGATCCATGACTCTCTCATCATTGATGTTTCTGTCTCTCTCTCTCCCTCTCCTTTCCTCTCTCTGAAATTAATAAAGATATATTTTTTAAAAATAATAAAATAAAATAAAATGGCATGCTACTATATTTATATCTTCTTGAGACTGTGAAGGGTAACTCCATTTATGGGAGTTCTGCACTCTTCTTCAGTGTTGGGCTGACCTCTCTCTGCACCACAGAGCACTCTGAGGTTGCTTAACGCACCAACTCCCTATTTCCCCAGGTCCTGCTCCCCTGATTTCATGCTGGAATAAGTTACAATTCCTTTCAACAACCACTCCAGTGGGTCTGTTGGACATTTAATTACAGTTATGAACTAAGGATACTACACATATGTTCTCAGTGCTCTAGCACTAAGTTATTTAAATGTAGTGAAACTGAATTTATTTTAAGTAGTCAATAATTTAGGTTACACAATCAATAGCATTGTTCTCTCAAAAATCATCACAAGGAATTATGCTTAAAAATGAGTCTGGTTTTTCATTTTTCTTTAGTAAAGAAATCAAAGAATATACCTTATTGTGTTTTAAAAAGTCATATAAAACAATCTTTCATTTCTAATTCAAATGAGATCTAAGCTTTTTTTTTCATTCTTAAATACACAAATATGGGAATATGTGATACAGTCATTTCCAAAGGGATAAAAAAATTCAGATAACCTTTTACCTGGATTAGTTGTAATAATGGTTTTTGAGATTACAGTTGCTGTCATGCAGTTTCGAAATTTGTCAAAATTTATTCTTACATCTGAGGCAAATATTACTGTTTGGGGAAAAAGCCATTTTTAAATTATTACATGGAGGATAAAAAATGACAAATATTGAACACAGTCATTGAAGTATGGTACCTGTTTCTCGTGGCATCCATCTCTGTGCAAGTAGAATGGATTCGTTATCCCAACTGCACGTTTTTAAAAAAGAAGTGATAAAAATAAAATACATTAGAAAAACTGGAAGCAAACGTTATTTACCAAAAAAAAGAATGCCTTAAGCACTGGGGTTAACCATCCCCTATATGGTCAAAGGCACAAGTTAAAGATGCAGTTTCTCCTGCATATTGCAGGGCTACACTTGTTTGTTTCACAGAGCATTTAACATCTACATGATCAATCATTCCTCCAATACTTTTAACCTCTAACAACTTCTGTTCCATCAATTCCTTCTTTTCCCATCACTCAGGTCACTCCTGGCTTCATGGATGTGAGTGACTACAAGTCTAAAGACTTTAAAGTCACTCTTTCAGACTATTAAGCGAGGGCCCCCACAATGGATAAACTGCTCAGGGAACTTGAAGGCTCATTTCAAATTAAGTACCTAATTTGGTACCAAGGCATCTGGAGTCTAAACAACACCATGTAATACCCTGTAGTACTTCAGAATGTAGTCCTACCCGGCATCTGACACACCAGAAGCCCCACAGAACCCAGCCTATGACAACACTTGCTTTTCTATCATCTTTCCATGGCCTGGCTACCCAAAGAAATATGGAAAGTCTAACATGTTCATTATTAATGAGACCTAATAAATCACCATTTTTAATAAAAGAGAGTGCAAGAATACACCAGTCACAGTGAGCCCATCTACGCAATCCCATGTCATCTAAAGATCTCATTTTAAGGTAATCTTACCACACCAACTGTAACAACTCAAAAGACAAGAGTGAGGTTTATTTTTTAAATATAATTTCTTTCTTATCATTACTCATCTCCTGATATTAAATCCATCATATTTTTGATAAAATAAAAATGTTCTGCCTTGATAATAGCAGGGATTTCACATTTTGGAACAGATATTGGTAGGTTACCATATCATTGCAAAAGAAGACTCCATCTCATCATAGAGTTTAACTTCACACCTCTGGCCTTTTCTTCGGTCTGAAGTTGTAAAGTATTTTGGCTCTCCAACCTTAGAAATTGAAGGAAATTGTTATTCTTCTTCTATAATTGTAGAGGTACTTAATATTTGTTGATGGAAATATTCAGATGTTTACCCTTTAAACAGCAAATAAGAAATATCAGAATAGTAAGAGTCACTAATATACATTTTATGATTTAAAAGCATCTCTCTCTAAACTAGGTGTATTTAACTGATGTTAGTTAAACAGTTTGATTGAAGAGAAGTACAGATATATGTATTTTAAGTTAAGACTATGGGGTCTTTTCAACATATCAGAACAAATGCTCCATGACAAGCCCACGGATGTCATCTATGTGGACTCACTGAGGATAGAAAGTATATTTTCAACATCTGTGTGCCCCATGGCTTAGTATAGGGCCTGGCAAAGAATTCATGTGACTAGATGACTTGGTCTCTCTGAGCCTCTGTGTCCTCATCTTTCCAGTGCAGGTATGAATATCAATATCTCCTTTGTGTCTTTATAAGACAAGGTGGTAAGGACCAAATGAGGGATGTTTGGGAAAGTGCTTTGACACGGTCTGATTCAATCCACACTGTGGGGTAAGAGGATCGTGAAAATGAAGGTGAACTCAGGGGCCCTTCTGTCACCCCAGGGGTTCTCACATTGAACAGCAGGCACCTCTGACAGTCACATAGCAATGGCCCAAGCACAATCAGCTGGCTTCCCCCTCTGCCACTGTCACCACTGCATCTATTAGCAGCTCTGAGCTTCATGGGAAGGAGCTGAAGAAAGACTCATAGCTACCAGCAGAAGAGTAGTATCTAGAACGAAAGTTGGAGGAAAGTACAGCCAGAGTGTGAAAGACGCCTGCCATACCACAGCACACAAGAAAATTGTACAAAAAAGAGTTTAAAGTAAAGAGACGTAAGCAGAGGTAAGAAGGAAGAGAGCAAGTTAACTAAAAGTGTAAAGAAAGGAAATGTAGGAGGGATAGAAGCAAAATAGGAGAAGGAAGGCAGTGAAAAAAGGAAGTAATGTAGCCTGGCTGGTGTGGCTCAGCTGTTGAATGTCGACCTATGATCCAGGAGATCGAGGTTTGATTCCCGGTCAGGGCACATGCACCGGTGGCAAGCTCAATCCCCAGTGGGGGGCGTGCAGGAGGCAGCCGATCAATGACTCTCATCACTGATGTTTCTATCTTTCTCTCTTCCTCTCCCTTCCTCTCTCTGAAATAAAAAAAAAAATTTAATTTTAATTTAAAAAAAGTAGTAATGTAATCCTATGGAAGAAGGTACCAGACTCATAGGGTGGAGGTGCATGGAAAAAGTTGTAGGTTTTTGCTCATGTTCATACTGAGTGTTAGAAAATTCTTACTATGTTGTAATATAATGACATTATATAGTATTGCAGGGAAACTGAGAGATCATATCCTGCCTTTAAGCAAGACTGAACCTAAATTGCTGAGAAAGTGATTTCTCCTACTTCTCACAATTGCCCCATAGGGTGTTTATTTCTCCATCCTGGATTATATTGAGTGCTCACCTTGTGGCTGGCACTGTGCTAGGCTGGAACTAGAGTGATGAACAAAGCAGACATGCCTCTGCCATCAAGGGCCTGTCATCAGGTATAGTTAACACTCTTATTGGCTAGTCATTTAATACGGAAAAGCAATTAGCAATTACTAACAACATTAACTACAAGTACCTAAGTCAATTTCCTTTCTTTTTTTTTTTTTTTTTTT